CGCTCTTCGGTAGCAGCGAGGAGAAACCTTGGGAAAGGATAATATTGTCCTGAGACGATGCAAGTAGGCAATTTGAAAAAGGAAATGGCGGGCATCCAGGATACCGGGCCTTGGTAACACAGATGAAGGTACATCCACGTTTCTCTTATTCTCTCAGTTTTACTGCTTGTATTGAGGTTCTGAAGTTGGGGAAGGAGGATGCACAGTTTGACCTGCCAGCTCTTTCTTAGCCCCACCAATGTCCTACTAACGTGGACCAGTCCAGATTAGCTTCAGGAGTGTTAAACTCAGAGAAGTATGTCCAAAAACTATACTCTTTTTTACATTAGCTCTACTGTTTCGTTCACTGCCTATCACCAATGCCTGGACCAATGCCTGGTACATAGAAGGCACTCAATACACTTTTAAAAAGATAAATGAATGAATGAACAAATGAGTAAATGAGAAAGTCTCACACCTCACATGGAAGGTGCTAGTCCAATGAGCTGAATACAGGGCTGAATATAAATATCTTCCAACCGTAGCTTTTCTGTTCTCGAGCTGTCCTCCTGGGGTAGGAGCACAGTCCACATATCTGGGAAGTCTAGGACACACCATAGTGAAGTTGTAATGTCCTCTCAGAGGGAGAGGGGAGAAAAATATGCCTACTGAAGATACTCTTCTGCCAATAATCCTCTGTTCTCTTCTGCAGAGGACACTAGAAACTAAAACTACCAAGCTATATGATATAGGTCATGGTACAGCCGTTCCTTCAATTCAGTAGCAATATTCTCCGGTTACGACTAACTTGTATTAAAATAACAGTGATTGGAAAGAAATGGTGCTAGAACTAATGACACCTGTTACCAACCTGTACCCTACTCCTGGCCTGGCATGCATCTGGCCAAAATGCTACTAACTCTCACTCCCAAACCTGTGGCGGATATTATGAACTAACTGAGCCCAGAGGTTCCTTCTGGGGCCTTCTAACCCCAGGGCTGTAGGTACCATTAATACTGTAAGATTGGAGGCCATCACTACATGACACCTATTTGCTCCCCCTGCTGTCCCAGCAGCTGTTCCCAGCTCTAGTTTCTTGATCGCTATGTACAATGTGGATGTTCTGCACTCGATGGACCTAAAGGGAATTTTAAAGACAGATTTTTTGGTAAAACTTTTATTTGAGATTTTATGTTATCCATAATAGAATGTACTCATTGAATTTTCTTATTCTGTACAAGAATGTGAACAGATTCATATGCTGTCATTAGAAGTATTAATGGTGTTTCTCTCTGATTTTGTTTACCTTTAAAGAAGTTCTGTTTATTTAATTTTTTTTCTTTTTACTACCTGACTGTGCCAGATTTGGGGGACAAAAAAATTAAATTTATCTTTGAAAATGTGTCACCTGTGAGTATGGGGTTTTCATTTGGGAGATGAAAAAGTTCTGGAACTGGATAGTGGTGGTGGTTGCACAACATCATGAATGCACTTAATGCCTCTGAATTGTATACTTTAAAATGGTTTAAATGTGTAGTTTTTAACCACAATTTCAAAAATGTGTCGGCCCACTTTATGGTATGTGAATTATAACTCAAGAAAGCTATTAAATAAATAAATATAGCAAAAAATATCAGAGCTAAAAAAGATGTGTCCATCATTGCCCCAAAGACACAAACTATAAAATAGGATATTGGAGGAAGGTCAAGAGAGGGTCGGAGTAAGTATAAAGTGATAATAAGGGAGTGTATTAGTTCTCTATTGCTATATAATAAATTACCCCCAAATTTAGCAGCTTACAGCAATGAAGATTTGTTACATCACACATTACATGAGAGTCAGGACTTTAGGAGTGGTTTACCTGGGTGGCTCTGGCTCAGGGTCTCTCATGAGGTTGCAGTCAAGCAGTTGACCAGGGCTACAGTCATCTGAAGGCTTGACTGGGTTTAGAGGACCCAATTCCAAGGTGACTCACTCACAACGCTCTTGGCTGGAGGCCTCAGTTCCTTGCCCTGTGGGCCTCTCCATGGGCTGTGTCATATCCTCACACATGGCAGCAAACTTCCAGCAGAGCCAGAAATCCAGAGAGAGAAAGAGGGAGCTGCAGTACCTTTCATGACCTGGTCTCCAGAATCATACACTGTCCCTTCCACCTTCTTTCACTTCCTTAAAAAGGAGTCACTAAGTCCAGCCCATACACAGAGGAGGAGAATTAGGCTCCACCTTTTAAAGGAAGTGTTAGACCTTGTGGACCTATTTGGCAGCACCACAGGCAACAGAGGAGAATTGGACAAATGTAGCTTCCTGGGGTATTGATTGTACAATCAAGTCCACATGCATTTATCAAATGCTGCTATTTGAAGAGAAAGAGTAGAAAAAGCATCCAGCTTTGCTCTTTACTGGTAGAATGACCATGGACAAATCATTTAACCTTCAGTTAAAAAAGACCTTCAGTTTTTTTACCTGATGAAGTGATGGGTTGAAGTAAATAATCCCTAACTCCTCTTATATCCCTAGGGTCCAGAACAATTCCTGGCACATAGTAGATGTTCAATAAATGTCGGTTGATTGACTCTCAACTGACTGAATTCTAATACAATGGTGAGAAATAATAGTGTGCTAAAAATAGCCTGAGATGGTGCTCAGTCTTAAAACAAAACAAAAAACTAATTTGGTGATAGAAGTCAGCTTGGTGCTTTCCTTATGGGGGAAGGATACTAACTAGGGAGGGGCATGCTGAAACCTTTTGGGGTTTAGAAAATGCTCCATATCTTGATCTAGTGGTCTTTACATGGGTGTATCCATATGTAAAAACTCACTGAGAGGTATACTTAATGCACTTTACGGCTTATATGTTATACCTAATTAAAAAGTACTTTAAAACAAAAAACACCTGCCCTTAGAACAGAAAGAGCACTACATACTTATAAGTTACAAAAATGTACCTGGAACACACAAACATTTGTAAATAAAACATTTTAAATGCTGCAGGGAAATCTATTTGAAGAAACCTTTCTGTGAATCCTTTTGAAAACACAAATGTAGGTTTCTGTATTTACAAAACCTGAACACATCGATTTAGATTTCCTAAACTGAGATTTTGCTACCCAGGTTTTCCCGAAGGAGTCACACCCATGTATCGGTGCTGGGGGAGGGGTGTAGAGACCAGGAAATGACGCAAACATGACTGAGGGCATGGCCTCTGGCCCTAAAGGGCTTATGATTGGATCCTGTGGTACCAAGTTATTTCTAGCTCAACAGTTTTTAAGAGTAATCCAGCCAATACTAAATGTATTGAAGTAGTAATTATCCTTCCCAATCACCACTTGAACTTAAAATCTGTTTTTTGTCCAAGTAGAGAATAGTCATCGCTTGTGTAGATTGGTTAATTTTCAGGCCGTTCCAAGACCAGCCTGCTCACCCTGGCATCACCCTTACCGATCACTAGGGCAGGTGGGTTTGACTGACATTGAGGTACCTCCCACATCCCTTTCGGAGCCACCCACCAGATGGCACAAAGCCAAGGAGAAGAGCAGTGACTCATGCTGTCCTGGGCCTGACCTCAGGGCTCTGTGACCATCGGGAAACTGGAGAGACAATTTCATTCTCAAACTAATTCATTCAAGTAACCAGTCATTGAGCTTAAGATATTTCATTTAATAACCGTTATCATTTTTCTGATAATAGAGATAATATGTATCGCTGTAAGAATTTTAGAAAATACAGAAAACACATATGTAAGAAAATTAAGCAACCAATAAGCCACCCACCCAGAGTTAGCCACCATTCACCTTTTTTTACACCCCTTTAAGAGAGGAAGTGACCCACTTCCCAGATTGGTTTTCAAATCCCATTGTGCCCAGCTGAGGTCTCATGGGAGACTCAAGGTGGTAGATAAATAAAATGTTGCCATTTTTGGTAATCTTGATTTTAATCCCACTAACGAATTATAGATGATCCCAGGAATGCTACCCTGAAGGGGCATAACTTCTCCTCTCCCTCCTTTCCCCCTCCCTCCCTCCCTCCCTCTCCATGGGTCTCAACAGGGGACCTGGGCACAGAGGGGGCCAGTGTACCATCAATCAAACCAGCAAGTAGGCACCAGCCCCTTATGCACACCAAAGTCTTGCAGAGAAAAGCAAAGGGGATAAACATAAACATGAATTCTTCTCTCCTCCCGGGTGAACAGGACTTATTGTGTTTTTATTTACAATAAATGAATCAAAGCTCGGATTGCCCATGTGTAGCTGGGATCATTCAAGTCCACTCTGTGGAGGCTAGGACAAGGGCAGCTGATGGCAGCAGGGCCGGATGGGTGCACTGGATCAGGCCCCACTCCCAGGAAGCTCACCTACCAGGGAGCACAGATGGGAGACACAGCAGACAGGAGGAGGAGGTCCCAGAAAGGGCAGAGGTGAGGTGGAGGGGGCTCAGAGTCAGAGACAATGCACCTTAGCGCCCGGCGAGGGAATTCATTTTCCCTTAATTTTTGCTTCTTGTTTTTGTACACCCATGAGAGCAGTGAGTTCTTTCTATATAAACTATTTTTACATTTGATTAGAGGAGCCTCTGATCTGTTAGGGAAG